GTTATAAGATAAAGGGCAACTGTAAAATGAGGTTAATTATACTATATATTCCACTAGGTATAATTTACATTAACTTATTATTTTGTTTCTAGCAGCATTTGTTCTTTAATAAAGCTTTTACTTTAATAATTTAAGGTCTTTCTTCCTGAAGTATTTTTGCGAAAGTATACGTTTTAAATATAAAGGAATAGAAAATTGTTTATAGAAACTAGGAAAAGTTTTTTCAGTAGAAGTTAATTTTATTATTCTGTGGGACTTGCTCTCAGACCACATACATACATATATGCAAACACACACACATATGTGTAATTATATGTAAATATTAGTGTCTTACCTTTTAAATTTGTTTTTTGCTTATATCGAAATTATATTATTTTTAATCAGTTATAGAATTATGTTGTGTTTCTTCATATCAGACTTATATATAGTCTACAAAGGTTATTACAAAAGACAACAGTCCTATAACATCCCTCTCCTTCATTATTTCTCACTCCCCTAGGGACAACTTTTCATTAAAAAAATTTTTTTTTCTATATCTCTAATATGATTATATTGCACTTGAAACATTTTGATTTTTCAATTTTAGACATTATCTCTTCTTTCCCATGTGGAAAATGAAGATTTAAATACTTTTGGTACATTTTCTCCCTGCCCTTAAAACATATACATGCCCATTTTCTGTCTGTCTTCAATACAGTCATATCACAATTTTGGTTTATATTGTTATGTTTATGTAAGAAGTATTTATAGCTGAACCATGTGGTATATATACTATGTTACTTTTCCTAGAAGACTTTTTGTTTTCACTTGAATTAATAATTATTTTCTCTCCTTTGTTTAGTTTTATAGTTATTTTAAATTTTTAATCATTTTCTCAAAGTTTGCTCTTTCACTTATAAGTTTGGTTTTTTTGCCTAGATGCCTAAAATATTTTTTATTTATCTTTAAAATCTAGTAATTTTACTAGAATTTGTCCTGAAGTTGTTTTTTGTGGCTTGGTATTCATAGGTACAATGTGTTCTCTTTCATTTGTAGTTTCTAATCTTTTTTCATTCTGGCAAAGTTTCCTCAACTGTACTATTTCGTATTTATTTTCTTCCTTTGCCTTAGTTTTCTTCATCAGGGTCTACTATTATAGTATGTTGGATCTTTTTTCCTGTTTAATATTTGTTATTTTCTCTCATATTTTAAAATCTTTTTTTGTTTCTTATTGATTAAAAAATCCCCTTTTTTGTCTTCTGTTTCTTTTAAGGTATTATCTGTTGTGTTTATTTGCTTTTGTCTTTATTTTAGTTTAATCTTCATTTCTGAAATGACTTCCTCCTCTATTTCTACTTCTTTCCTGAGTTATACCATCTCTCTTCTGTGTTTTTCTAATTTTGATTGATGTAGTTCTTCAATATCTTGTATTACTTTCTTAATTTTCAAATAGTAAATTTTAGTTTTGGTTTATTTTGTGATTGTGTCTTTTTGGCTGCTTTTATTGTAGGAATTTTTTTTCTTTTACTCATTTTTTTAAATAGGAACTTAGTATATTTTTTACCTTTTTACCTTGATCCTTTTCTTTGCTCATTCTTAATTGAATTTAGTTTTTTCCTGAACTTTTAGGAGGAAGTGTGATTCAGGATAACTTTTTAGCTTCACCGGGCTCTTTGTGTAGTGTTCCAAGTATGACAGCTTGCTTTCTGGGATTTTCTGCCTCTGTTCTGTTCCACTTTTGTTAGTGCATTTTTTTTCCTGAGTTTTCTCTTTCTTTCTATTTTTTTTAATCCTGTTTAATTTGTATTCTATTTGATACAGTAGCTTCTCCTAGTTTCTTGGGCTCTATCCTGATTGGGAACCCTGAGGGGTCAGTTTCTGTAATTCTCACAGGCTACCAGATAACTCTACCTTCTTCAAACCTTGCTGGAGATCTTGTGAACTCACCTGTTACTGGCATGGGCAGCCCCCCTCCCACTTTCAGCTGCTTTTCTCAAATGACTTACTGTGCTTCCTGGTGAGTACCTGTTGGCTATTTTGAGGTTTTCTTCCCAGGTCTTTTAGATACCCTCTTACTTCCTTCTGCTTCCTCCTGCATTAGATGCTGATACTGTGCAGGTTTTTGTGGTGGTTAGTGGTTTATCAACATCTGCTTTATTTTGGGGTTTGTGGGGATATCTTGTCGCTTTAATTTATTGTAAATGTTGTCTGCAGTAGGGTTTTGGGTTTGCTGTGTAATTGCTGTGTCTGTTTTTATGGGAGGATATGGGGAGACTTGAAAACTTTGCTGCCTCTGCTTTTATTTTCTGTTTTGTGTTTTTGCTTCTGTCTTTCGTATTAGAGGATATTGTCAAATTATTGGCCATTTGTTCATATTTAGTAGTAGAAGACTAAAATGCTTTTGGAAGTTATGTGCCAGAGGTGCCTAGCACTACTGATTACTAAGTTTGTTGGGGGTTCCTCCTGGATGGAGATTGTCAGTATGGGCTTTATTGTAGGGTGATTTCTCTGGGCAATTTTATTGGGAAACTTATTCTGTCAGCATCTTTTTCTGTCTTTTCTCTTCAGCTGGTCATATTCAGAAGAAAAGTCATTCATATCTTTCTCCTAGAGGCTATAAGCTAGGTTACCACTGTTTTTAGAACCTTTTGGAGGGACAAGTTATAGTAAAGTCTCAGTATGTAGCCCAGACTCGTAATCTGCCTGTTTTCATGCACTACCCCTGCTGTCACCTGTACCTGCTGTTTCCATTCCAGTGAGGACGACGACTACTTCTCCTCCTCCTCCTCCTCCTGAGACCAGGTTATTTACAGTTCATCCTTATTCCTATGATGTTGTCTTTTAGGTGCCCTATCCAAAGTATGGAGAATTTATGAAGGCTTCCCCTTCTTAGTAGACCCTGCAGTTATATTTTGCTTCTAGGTCTGTGACATTGTCAAAATCTCAGCTAAGTTTCAGTCCTTTAGTTGTCTTTTCTGAAATTAGCAGATGCCCTTAGGGAGAAAGCAGCTCCAATGTCTGGCTCATCTCCCTAGCTTTCCCTTCTTCTCCCAGATTTTGGCCCTGTAATGCTTCACTGCCTTATTAGCTTCTCTGTGCCTTCAAGCAGATTTTAAAAAGTAATTTGACCAGATTTTCTTAGTCTTCTTAGTGGGGTGATGGATCTGCTTTTTGTAAATTGCCATTATCAGAAGCAGAGATCTGTTCCCCATTAATATCTTTTCTACTCTCATCCTGTCTCTCTGTACTCTCCCATCCCCCTCTTTCCCCTCATCATGTCTGTTTCATTATTCTAAGTATCTATTATTGGGCTGATGTTGCATAGTTAATTATTACATCTTTCTTTTGTTTTTGTTTTTTTTAATTTTTTATTTATTTATTTTTTTCCCCCAAAGCCCCAGTAGATAGTTGTATGTCATAGCTGCACATCCTTCTAGTTGCTGTATGTAGGACGCGGCCTCAGCATGGCCAGAGAAGCAGTGTGTCAGTGCACACCCGGGATCTGAACCCGGGCCGCCAGCAGCGGAGCGCGCGCACTTAACCGCTAAGCCACAGGGCCGGCCCAGAAATAACAATTGTTGGTGAGGATGTGGAGAAAGGGGAACCATTGTGCACTGTTGGTGGGAATATAAATTGTTACAGACACTATGGAAAACAGTATGGAGATTCCTCAAAAAATTAAAAATAGAACTACCGTATGATCCAGCAATTCCACTTCTGGGTATTTATCCAAAGAAAATGAAAACACTAACTTGAAAAGATATATGCACCTCCATCTTCATTGCAGCATTTACAATATTTACAATAGCCAAGATATGGAAGCAACCAAAATATCTATTGATGGATGAATGAATAAAGAAAATGTAGTATATATACACAATAGAATATTATTCAGCCATAAAAAGAAGGAAATTTTGCCATTTGTGGCCACATGGATGGACCTTGAGGGCATAATGCTAAGTGCAATAAATCAGACAAATACTATATGATCTCACTTATATGTGAAATCAAAAAAACGCCCCACAAAACCAAGCTCATAGATGCAGAGAACAGATTAGTGGTTGCCAGAGGCAGAGGGGTGGGGGTTGGCAAAATAGGTAGAAGGGGTTAAAAAGTACAAACTTCCAGCTATAAAACAAATAAGTCGTGGGGACGAAATGTTCAGCATGGTGGATATAGTTAATAATGTTGTGTTCTATATTTGAAAGTTGCTAAGAGAGTAAATCTTAAAAGTTTTAATCACCAGAAAAAAAAAATTTGTAACTATATATGGTGATGGATGGTATTGTGGTGATCATTTTGCCAATCTTAAATGCATACTACTAAGTGAAAGAAGCCGATCTGAAAAGGCTACATAACGTATGATTTCAACTAGATGACATTCTGGAAAAGGCAAAGCTATGGAGACAGTAAAAAGATCAGCAGTTATGGGGTGGAGGGAGAGTTGGAGGGGAGAGGAGAGATGAACAGGCAGAGCACAGATGACTTTCAGGACGATGAAAACACCACGTATGATATCATAATGATGGAGACATGTTATACATTTGTCGGAACCCACAGAATGTACGTCACTAAGAGTGAACTCTAAGGTAAACTATGGACTTTGGGTGATTATGATGTGTCAATATAGGTTCATCCTTGGTAAAAAACATAGCATTCCTGTGAATGGTGTTGATAAGTGGGGAGGCTATACATATGTGGGGGCTGGAGATATATAGGAAATCTCTGTACCTCCCTCTCAATTTTGTTGTAAACCTAAAACTGCTCTAAAAAAAAAAAAGTCTTAAAAAAAAATTAGAAAAAAAACCCAAAGAGATTGAAGGATTGATCCCTACTGTAGATTGGTAAATCTATGAGACACATCAACCTAAAAATATATATATACACAGTAAATGTACTAAGATATAAACATATATGTAGTCTACCTAGTAATTATTTGGCTTTTAGATACTTCTGTGGTAAACTAACAAATTTTTGTTTATTATTTATTTATTTAAGGAAATATTTTTTTAAACTTTCAGGTGATACAGCCTTGTTTGAGTTGATTCAGCTAGTTCCACCAGGTATTGTATTATATTTTGATAAGGTAATTGGTGTGTGAACCCATTCTAGTGAAATACTTTTTAAAAATATCATTTTCCTCCCTTCTTTCCAAATTAAGAACAATTTGGAAACAATTTAAGAACTAGAACTTGAGTTTCTAGTATTGATCCACTATGTGTAAAATATCAATAGACCAAAAGTATGTATTCAGCAAGATTGACATAAATGGTATTTGAACACATTGTTCTAAAGTTGAATAAATAGCGATAATTGAAAGTGGAAAATAACCTGATATTATCCCAGCATATTTTGTGACATTCATAAAAATTGACTTTTAAGTTTTTGTGATTAGTCTCAAACTATATACTTTTGTTGATAAACTAGTTAATTATCTTTGTTTTTGTGTGTTGACTGTTATTAGGAATGAAGGGGAATAAAACCTTACCTGTTTAGTAAACATATCAAATCTCTGGGATAGGTAGTTAAAATATAGAGGATAGTTTTATTTCTGTTATTGATTTCTGTCATTATAGGAGAAATCTATCTTAATCAATTAGTTATTTTATGTGTAAAATGGAAATCTGTATTTTATTGAAAACTAGTAATCTGAAAAATTTTGAATATTACATACATACCTAATTCAGATAATCACAAATTCTAGAAAATGCCTACATATTTTTCAACATGTAACCTAATATCTTATAATGGCAGGTAGACAAGAAGGGAATATAGAAAAAATTTGAGGGGATGGTAAAGTTTTAGATGTGTAAATGCCATGCCAACTTGATATGTTTATAAGGACATTTTTTTTTTTCTAGGAACTCATAGGTACTCCCTAAATCTACAAAAGGGGGACAGAGAATTGGTGATATGTACTGCATTTCTGAATAAGGAAATGTGTTAATCCATTTAACATAACCTTATTTTAATTTTCCTTTCATAGAAAAAAAACATGACCCTGAAGCAGGTATTTCACTAAGGCATCAGGCATTTTATATATTATACTTGATGGTTTTATTTCTAAATAGAATATTTTGTTATAATTTGAATCATAGGATATCTTTCTTGTAGTGGGCGAAACACTATCTACATATGAAGAAAATACACGAGATTTCATGTTCCCGGGTCCAAACCAGATTTCTGGACACCATGATTCAAACCGCCAGGTTACCATGAGGAGGATTTCTGGCCTTCGAGTAAGTGCTTACTATTTTCTGAATCAATTTGTGATGCAAGATTGTTGTCAAAAACCACCACACAGCCCTCAAATTTGAAATCTGAACTAATTCAAAGTTTAATTTGGTTCAAAACATAATTGTTTTATGAAATTATGATGTTGTCTTAAACATACGAAATCTAAATGAAAATAATGTAACAAAACCCATGCATCTTTCATCCAAAATTAATGTGTTATTTTGCCTTGTATACTTCAGATTTCTCTCCTTTCCTTCTCCCGCTTCTCCCCCTCCCCACCATCACTGTCTGTCTCTCTGTCTTTCTTCTCATGCTTTTGTTTTTCTCTCAGAAGAATGACCAATAAATATTTGAAAAGGTGCTCAATCTCATCAGCCTGTAGCAAAATCCAAATTAAAACAATATGATTTCATTTTTGTAGCCATAAGATTGGTAAAATTTGATACGTATGACCATATCGAAAGTGTGAAAAAGTGGAAACTCTTATATGCCATGTAAATCAGAACAATCACAGTTCAGAATTATCTGGTAAAGGCAAAGATTCTCATAGCCTGTGACCTTCTAAGTATATATCTTGGAGATATATTCTCTCTGGTATACTAAGAGCCCTCTTAGGAATGTTCATTTGTAGCATTGTTCATAATAGTGAAAAATGGAAATAATTGAAATGTCCATTAGTAGGAGTTTAGATGGATTAATTATTCATGTAATGGAAATATATATCCATACATCTAAAAGTGAAAGCCGCATTGTGACAGCCAACTCTCCCATCTTTTCCTCCAAATTCCTTCAACTTTCCTTGGATGATTTCAAAATATTTTTATCCCTGAAAATGTCTTCCACTTAGAGAAACTTCTTAAGCCTCTGCTGTTGCAAAGAAGAAAAAAGCAAAAGATGTCTAGGTTGAAATAATTTGGACAAACTTTTTTTTTTTTTACCAACTTATAAAGTCTTAGAGTAGTCTAAGTAAGGAAACTGAGGAGATATATAAGTCAATATGGTGAACTAAGTAATTCCTCTTGTAGGTCTAAGTTTGTCATATGTTTTGTCCTAGGAAAAAGAAACTGTAGCTTGCTGAAAGTATAAAAATTGACTAACTAGCAAATCAATGAAAGTATATCTCCTTTGGGATATTTTCAGTGTCCATTAGCCACCTTCTATACTATAAAAGTCTTCAAAGAGTGTTTCAGCAACTGTCTAGAAACCTGCAGTGAAAAAAAATCTGATTTTAAAATTATGGTCTTTTTTTTTTTTTTAATTTTTTTTTTTGGTGAGGAAGATTGGCCCTGAGCAAACATCTTGTTGCAAAAATATATATATATAAACAGTGGGACTTCTGGTAATGATGGTATGGAGAGATTGACAGTTCCTCTCTCCACACAAAACAAGTACAAAACTAGATAAGACTGTCATAAACAATAGTTTCAGGACACTGGAAACTGACTGGCAATTAAGGCAATTAAGACAAGACAAATTAAGAGTGTTTATGCTTGAATGACTGCTGAAGTTTTGGGTGAAAAGGTGGAAGTATGTGGCCTTCTTGCCTGGAAAGCTCCTATGCCCTGTGTGGCCAGTGAGAATTGTAGCTTCACCAGGCCTAGAGCTGGGCAGAAAACTCAGTAGCTTTGCTACCAGAGGGGTCAGAATCAATTTTGGGCAATGGGACTGTGATATTGTGATTTATAATAAGAAATATATATATTTGGTCCTCATCCCCATTCTGGCACAGAGCTCCTAAAACCTTGGAATTTCCTAAGTGGTGGGGACAATAAAGGTGTCTTTTGTTGTATTAATGAGGCGACTTTTGGAAAGCCCCTAAGGTAACCTAAGGATGGGGGCTGGTTTTCAGGAGAACCAACCTTGTGATTAGAGAATTAGAACTTTCAGCCTCACCTTGACCTTTGAGAAGGCTAGAGGGACTGGAGATTGAGTTCAGTTACCAATGGCCAATGATTAATCAACCATGCCTATGTATGAAGCCTCCGTAAAAACCCAAAAGGACTGGGTTCAGAGAATTTCCAGATTGGTGAACTCGTGGAGGTAGGTGCTGGGAGATTGGCGTGCCCAAAGAGGGCATAGAAACTTCGTGCCCCTTCCCACATACTTTGCCCTACAAATTTCTTCCATCTGTATCATATCCTTTTATAATAAACTGGTAAATAGTGAGTAAACTGTTTTCCTGAGTTGTATGAGCCACTCTAGTCAATTAATTGAACCCGAGGAGGTAGTTGTGGGAACCTCCCATTTATAGCTGATTGGTCAGAAGCATAGGTGACAACCTGGACTTGCAATTGGCATCTGAAGTGGGGTAGGGACATTCTTGTGGGACTGAGCCCTTAACCTGTGGGATCTGATGCTACCACCAGGTAGATAGTGTCAGAACTGAGTTAAATTGTAGGACACCCAGTTGGTGTCGCAGAAAATTGCTTGGTGGTGTTGGAAAACCCACATATTGGAATTGGTGTCAGAATCATAGGGACAAATAGTGTGGCTTTGACAGCTAATCGTGGTGGATTCAGATGGAAGTAGATGAGGAAACCCCACAGCTTTCCTAGGCCAATTGCGGTTCTAATTAGAGTGAGCAGCTTACCTGCCAGAAAGTTGACAGGGAGATCTTGGAAGTAAGGGAGCAATATAAGGGCTGAAATTATCTCCCCACCCATTCCTGGCTGACTGTGAAACTATGCGTATGCAGGGGAGACAGTGAGAGCCCAGCAAAAAGTGAAAGCCAATAGAGACTAGAGATCTGGCTGTATCTTTGCGTGCATTCCCCAACCCACACATAGTAATCAACAGAGAGTGTAATGGAACCCTTACAGGTTCGTTGGAAACCACCAAGCTATGCATACACAGGTGAGATCCCTGGAAAGAACAGAAGAGTAAAAAGACATGGCGCATATATAAACTGAACAACAAAATGGCAGATGTGAGTCCAATCATATCAATTATATATAAATGTGAATGGACAGAACACTCCAATCAGTAGTTGTTGTCCTGGCCGGCGGCAGTGCACCCTTCCTCAGAATTCATGTGATTCTCCATAGATGTTTGTCTGAGTCTTAGGCTGTCCTCCTGAGCCCATCACTGTGGCAAGGATTTAAATCACATCTGGGATTAATCCTGGTGCTGTGTTATGAGAGATTCGGGGATTCCGTCGGAGACGTAAAAGAAACTTTCCACTCCAAACAAATGGACTGAAGGTATATGTTATTATATAGAGGATAGTAAAGGCGATAGTCCGCAAACAGATCTGAATAAGTCAAATAATAAGAGGGAAAAAACACCAGCTCGACTGGAAAGGGAAAACATCCACATCGGCTGAGATAGCGGCAGATTCGAATAGGTCATATAATAAGAGGGAAAAACATCAGATCAATCAGAAAGGGAAACACTGGATTGACTGAAGGGAAATGACAAAAATCAACCGGAAAGAGAAACACCAGGTTGACCGCAAAGAGAATACATCAGATCAATTACTTCACAGTAAATCAATTATTCACAACATCCATGCCCCACTGCAGGGAGAGTCCTGTCAGTTGACACGGCTGGGCGGGAATCATACGTCCTGGGCAAGGCGGCCCTTGCGCAGATGAAACTCTCACCAAGTCTCAGTCTCCAGCAGTTTCTTATAGCATCAATAATTTCCAGAGTAAGCAGTTACGGAGTTTTTTTCAGAGCAAGCATCTAGTGTTCCCATGCACAAATGGTTATCAGTGGCGTAGGTGCACTGACCCCCCCCCCCCGGGCTGTCATCCCAGCCCAGTAGTTGTGTACATGCATTGTTTACCTTGCTTATCATCCTAGCGCAGCACAGATGGCCAGCCTGCCCCAGGCAGCGGCGCCCGAAAGGCCTTGAAATTTTTACACATTGCAGCTCTCTCCATGGGAGAAGGGCCAGTTCCCACCACGCAGAAAGCAGCTTTTATATTTCTTTTTGTGCTGGTGGCTGTAGGTCAATGGAGCGGCCAGACATGGCTGTACTCATGTCAAGACATGCTGTCACAGACTACTTGAGTAAGCTTGAGCAAAGCGCTATAACGTGGAGATATCACAGGACTATTGGGTGGATGAATGAAAACTTGTAAATGATTGTAGCAGGACCTGGCACATAGAGAACATTCAATAAACGTTAGTGATTTGATGATGGCTGTGGAGATCACGATCGTGGTGGTGGTGATGATGATGATAGCTCCTTTAGACTGAACTCCATAAAAACGGAGTCGATGACTTTCTCATCTTTGAATTTAACTCTTAGCACAGTACTTTGCGTGGAGTAGGTACTTCAATGCCTCTTGATTGAATTGAATGAATGAATTATATCTTATTGTAGACTTCATAGAGGAACTGACATTTGAGAAATCCTCCTTGAGTTTCCAGCCTGCTGGCTTGCTTACAGATTTCACACTCACAACTGCAGTGTCCACTTTTGCCTGAATTTTCAGCCTGCCCTGTGGATTCTGGACTTGCTGCTCTTACAATTGCGTGGACCAATTCCCTAAACTAGATCTCCATATCCTGTTAGTTGCATTTCCCTGGAGAACCCCAACTGATACATACGGGTTTTGAAAGCTTAGTAAAACTAACAGCTAAAACGCTGAGTACTTACTCTGTGACCAGCAATATATGGGGAGGGGTAAAGTGATAAGTTGCCATCCAGGCTATGGTAGTTATAAAATACGTCCACAAATGATTTGATACTTCTCTCTTCCAAAGGCAGAGCTAATTCTATGGACTATACTCAGTGACTCTAACAGATACAACGTGGTGGAGAGACAGTATTAGACTTTTGAGACCAGGTCATTAAATGCATTGTGGCTTCCTCCTTGCTCTCACTCTTGTATCACTCACTCTGGGGTAAGCTAACTGCCATGTATGAGGACACTCAGGCAACTCTATAGAGAGGGCAGAAGCTGGAACAGCTTTGCTAGAGAGTTTGTGAAAGTTTGAAGAGCCTTGAAGAAACTGTCAGATGAGTGTTTGCAGGAAAGTGAGGTAAATGTTATTGGAAGTTAGAGGAAAGAGGAATCTTTGTTATGTAGTGGCAGAAAGGTTAGCAATGCCGTGGCCTGCAGTAATGTGGGATGTAGAAAAACACCTAATGAAATGGGTAATCTGTCTAAGGAGGCTTTCAGACAGAGTGTTAGAGGGGCTACCTGGTTTCTTCTTGCTGCTTAAAGCAAAATACGAGAGGAGAGAGATAAGCAAAAGAAAAGGCTGTTAAACAAAAAGGAGTTGGAACTTAGTGTTTCTGAAGATTCCTAGCCTTTCCCAATAGCAAATAAAGCTAAAATTAAGAAATGATTTCTGAGCAAAAATTATTCCAGACACTTTCAGGAAATTGTGGTCTGATGGTGAAATCAAGGTGTGACTGTAAAATCCTTCATTAAAATCTGAGAAAGATCCAAGTTGTTACCTCAGGAAATAATTTAATCAAACATGGGTTTGGTTTTTTTTTTCCCTCAAAGATGCTTAACGGCATTATCCCTCAGCAATCTCAGCAGAAGCCCAATGTTGAGAAAGGTGTGGCTTTTGTCTAATGGAGTGAACTCCAATAAGATTCACGTTAGGGCCAAAAATGTTGTTTTTACCACATACAAGGTGATGATTTTTTTTTTTTTTTGTGAGGAAGATCGGCCCTGAGCCAGCGTCTGTCAATCCTCCTCTTTTTTTGCTGAGGAAGACTGGCCCTGGACCAACATCCATGCCCATCCTCCTTCACCCTATATGGGACACCACCACAGCACGGCCTGCCAAGCGGTGCATTGGTGCGCGCCTGGGATCCGAACTGGCGAGCCCCGGGCCACTGCAGTGGAGCGCGTGCACTCAACTGCTTGTGCCACCGGGCCGGCCCCCCAAAAATGTTTTTTAAGATCATTATATTGGCAGAAACATCACCAGCTTGGTCTGAAATAGAGACCTTACAAAACGAAAATGCCTTTGGATCCACAAAATTCTATTCACAGGACCCAAGCTCAGAACACTGTGCACCTCCAAACATGGTCTACCTCTCATTGCAAAGGAATGATGATTCAAAGGATGGAAGCAAGAGCACGGAGAGTGGAGCAAAGAACCCTGGATAGTTATTTCTGAGCGGGAGTAGGACTAAGCTAATTGAGGAACTTCTAACATTTTCCTGGCTGCATTTCTGAATTGCTATGGACCAGTGATTTCTGTTTGCCTCTTGTTTCCTCCCTTTTTTAACAGGAATGTCTATAGTAATTATCTTGTGCCTGCTGCACCTGTGTACTTTGGGTATGTGTAGGGTAGATAACCTGTCTCTTTAGTTCATAGGTCTTCTACTTGTGAGGAAGTGTATTCTAGAAACTGTACTTAAAGAACCACTCCTGAGGAGGCTGAATAAGGATTTGACTTAGATGCCAACATCCTGGATTTCAAGCTGAAGTTGTAAAAGGATGAGACTTTTTCTTCTCTTTTTTGTAGGGCATAGTTTAGTTTACACGTGAGAAGAGTGTAAGTAACTTGTGGTTAGAAGGTGGACTGTGGTGGTTTTAAAATATGCCCACAAAATTTTTGATATTCCTCAGCTGAAAAGGTAGCCTAAACTCCTTTGTCCTTGAGTGTGGGCTGTACTTAGGGGCTCTAATGAATAGAATGTGATAGAAGTGACAGTGTTAGACTTCTGAGACTAAGTCACAAAAATGATTGTGGCTTCCTCCTTGCTTTCCTTTTGGATCACTCTCTTTTGGAGAACTAGCTGCCATGTCATGAGGACACTCAAGTAGTCCTATGGAGAAGTTTATGTGGTGAGAAGCTGAGTCCTCTTGCTAAAAGCTAGAAAAGCACTGAGGTCTCCAGCCAACAGCTGTGTGAATAAGCCTTCTCAGGAAGCAGATCCTCCAGCCCCAGTCAAGCCTTCAGATGACTGAAGCCCAAACAACATCTTGACTGCAATCTCCTGAGAGAGTTCGAGCCAGAACCACCCAGTTCAGCCTCTGCCAGATTCCTGACCCGTAGAAACTGTGTGAGATAATAGTGTTTACTTATGTTTTAAACTGCTAAGTAATATGCCGTGCAGCAGTAGATAACTAACAAGTAGGCCTAGTGGACATCATTAATGAAAGATATGTTTGAAGAAAAACAGTTGTTCAGTTAATTCTTAGGCAACTCAGATTTACCTTTTCTGTAACTTGTGATGTTTGAAACTTTAAAGTCAGTAGGTCCAAGGCGGGGTTTGTGGAGGGCAAATGTCTGCCTTCTACCCTATTAGAGTGAAGCTGCACTGGACAGACAATATCCTTTAATGTTTTGGTGAATGTGTAATTTACATGCTTCCAAATATTTTCTCAGGTGCTTTGTGACTGTTTCTTTGAATTTTACCCTTTGTCTCCACTTATTTAAAAACAGTGTTCAAGCTGATGATTGAAATGTTGTGAGAAATAGAAGCCAGGGTCGTTCATAGATCTGAATATAAGCTACATTATGGGAAAAAATGTGGGAGGTACTTGTAGAGACATCTCTCTTCTGTTTTCAAGAACTGCATACCCAGGAGCTGTGATTTTTTTTCTTAACCGGAGGAGACTATCCAAAATATTTCTTGATTATGTAGTTAAATATGTCTTAATTTATAAAAGGAAAAAGAGCTGAAATCCATTAAATATTTTCATATACTTATGACTTGAATATTATATCATAGTTTAAAAATTTTAGAATGATTTGACAGGGAAATGCTTGAAAAGGAAAAAATATATAAATTTTTCCATAAAAGTAGTATAATCACTTGTAAGTGAATCATCAGCAGCAATGAAACTGTTTCTTGCTAACATTTAGCATTGCTATGTTGTCTTTATCCCAACTAACAAATAAAGCAGCTGAACTTTGACAAGTATTTTTACTTTAGGTCATATTTTCATCACTAATAATTATCTTTCTTTTAAATTGAAAAGTCTAATATTGCCCTGTTTTTCCCCCTCAGGGAATTGCTCCAAAGCTGGAGTTTTCTACAACCTCAGTGATTACTGAATGTCTGATAAGTTCAAGGAAGTGCCGCACTCAGGTTAAAATCATTTATTTAAAGTATTTAATGGTTTATTTCTTCATATTTATGGGCATTTGGCAAGCATTATTCTTTTATTTTTGTCTGCAGCTCTTTTCATTTTGGGGGGTCAATTTTTAGTTTAAGTAAAAAATTATCATAGGTATTTAGCAGTTTGGGTACATCTTAATAAATGTAAGAGTGAAAGTTTGGTACACATAATAGAAGGTGCCATGATGTTATATTTTTTTAAATTTCATGAGCCTGTGTTTTTTAATGCAAAGAAATCAGGCTGCCAGAAAAATGTTAGGATCAAGAAGTCCCACAGAGAACTCGATTGGAGGCCTTTATAATCTTATAGAAGTTACTGCAAAAAGTTCAAAGGATACTTTTTTAGCAAATGTGATCATAGGTTCTCAGGCTAGGATATTGGTGTTTAGTGATATGGTTTCTCGAGTGTCTCTAATTCTTTAAGGGACTATTTGCTCAGTTTGGTGGCCATGATGGTGCTGTCAGATCAAGGGAAGCTTGGATACTTCCGCCTAAGTACCATCTATATTTGTAAAAACTGCCTTTAGTAAACTGAGATATCTGGATCTGACTTTTACTGAGTCACCAGGATGCTCTTGCTACCTTGTCCACAGGTTATGTAATAATGTCTACACCTCACTTGTAGGCACTTGCATTATGACCAGGTAACAATGACCAGCCTGAGATGAAGAGCCAGTAATATATAAAGCCCAGAGGGCCCGAACAAGGCAGGACTGGACCTATGATGGAAAGAGTGGAAGATTAATTTATTCATTATCAGTTTTAGAGTAAATATGCTGAGGATGATAACTGTGACTTAAGCTAAGAAAGGTAAAATATAGCTATAAAATTATCAAGGTTATCATTTTTATTTTATTTAGCAAGCTTTTTATTTAGTATGTCAGAGTTTGGCTGTAGTTATTTATCTTTTAAATGCAAGCTGAAACAGTTATTAGAGATCTAACAACCTATGCTTGCCAAATGCAGAGATGTGTTACTGACTTGTTTTTGAGATGTGTACTGTGCACATTTTGTAAATTGTTAGAAATGTTTTACCTGGGCTCAGACAAAATTTTTCTCTCCACATTGTGGTGTGTCCTTCTAGTGGGTGGGTAGAAAAGTCTTTTTTTGTCTGGAGTATAGCATGCACACAGAAAAGTACATACATCCGAAGTATACAGCTTAGTGGAGAGTCCATTCTAAATGTAAAACTGTCACCCCATTAGTAGTTTCATTGGACTTAGGAACTAACATTTTCTCTGTAGACTTTTGGGAAGACTCTTTCGTTTATATTAACTTGCTGTTCCAAGGTTTGCCATTTGTTCTTTCTTGAATAGAGATGTAAGAGAATAGGCTTTGGTGTCAGACGGTGTTTAAGCAAGTATGCTTTAGAATCAAACAGATTTGGGTTCAAGTTCCTCATAAGACTGCTTTAAAGATTAAATTAGAGAATATATGCAATGTGCCTGGCACATAACATGTAATTAATGAATTTTGTGACTAAGGTTATTATTTTTTTTAAATTAAGGCAACTGGGGGAGATCAGAAGCCAATAGTTGAAATATAAGATAGAAAACATCATCTGGTAGGCTTAACAGAGAATACACTTTTACATTAAGATTCTGAATGTTAACAGACAGAATCTTAATCTTATTTGATCTTATTTGAGAGCATGATAAATCTACTTTTTTTAAAGGGATTATTAGTTACAATTAAAATTTTAATGGCTATAAAACAGCATTTTCAAGTTCAAATATAACAATAAGGCAAACCATTTTGTTTTTTAAGAGAAGAATGAGTGAAATAAACTTTATAAAATTATTTAGGTTTACAAATACCTATGATCTTTATCCTTTTTGGCACATTATTTTCAAATTAGATGTTTTGTTACCAATTGAATGGACTGAAAAAATTACACATCTTGATTTTCTGGAATAAAACTAGTTTTCTACTTATTCTTTTTACCTACTGCACAGAATTTATTAGAATTTATTGTTAAATGGTTAAATATCAATGGTAGCCTTATTAATATATTTGTTAATCTTCTGTGTCAGGTAGCTTTGCTATGTAAACTAACAGCACACTAGCACACTAACTTAGTAGCTTAAAACTGAGTGTTCCTCACAGTTCTGTGAATTGGCTCTGTGATTCTTTCAGTCTGCACTGGCTCGGGTAGAGCTGAATGATCTAGGATGGCTTCACTCCCATGTTTGGCAGTTGGCTGACTCTGGTCTGGGAGGGATTTTACATTTCTGGTAATTGGCTTGCTTTCAGCTGGGACAATGGCCACAAGACTCTCATTATCTAGTAAATTTCGGCTCATTCACGTGGTGGCAGGAAGGTTGTTAGGAGTAAAAGATGACAAGCACTTTTCAGGTCTCTTCTGTGTCGCATGTGCTATTGTCCTGTTGGCCAAAGGAGGGAGCCATTTTGTAAACAGTATAAAACAGCCACTATTGTAAGTTTTATTTGGTATTAATAGGATACATTAAGGATTGAGTAGAGTTAGACAACATATATCTGTAGTAGATACACCACAGTTTATAACTTCCTCTAGTAGTATTCAGCATTCAAAAAGTGTAATGAAGAGAGAAGACGAGGTTAGGTACTTTAGGTTTGGTATAATCAGAGGTGGATAAGAAGGAACTTTACTGAAATGGATGAAATTGCTGGAAAGGATGGTAACGGGTTCGGCTGGGTCTGGAGGTAAAAGACACTAAAAATGTATAAAGGTCTAGGGGAAAGAAGTCTAGGGGCTGAGTAGGTGAGCAGGGCAAGTAACAGATTCAGTGATAATAAAAGAAGTAGGTTGGGGAAAAGAAGTTTTGGTCAGCCAGGGATTTTCAGAGGTTGAGATACAATGGATCTGTATAATGATGAAATCTAAGATGAAGTAGACAAAGATGATTAGCGCTGAGAAATAGAAAGTTTAAGTCCAGGGTCTTGGACAGATTCATTGCTTGAACATTTTATTAAACCTCAAAGGCCCTTTCATATGCTAACATTCCTGCTTCTGTGAGTCAGTGTGATGTCATAGAGATGGATGAAATGGGATAAGGTAGAAAAATTCTGAATTACTTGTTGAAGTCATTGAACAAGGTGGGGGAAGGTCCAGGAGCATATTAAGAATTGTAGAAGAAAGGAAGATGAGGAAATAATCTGACGCTGCTGGTTTGTGTGAAACTCATGGACTTACTTTTCCAATTAGAAAATACATTTTCTTTCCTGGCTGTTTATCTACTTCTAAAAAATATTTGACTCTTCTTCCTTCTATTTCACATCTGTATTTATTTATTTAGAATAGATGTTCTTAGCAAGTACAGGGCAGGGGGGTTTGAGAAATTCGAGAGAGGGGTAGGACTGGTGGTTTTTTTAAGTGATTAAAGTTAGGAGGACATTGGAGGAGGACATGTTATCCTAATAATGCAAAAAATTTATAAATATCACATTTGTTTTTTAAAATTTTAGACTACTAACCAGTTTTAGTAGAAGATAGAGTACTAGTCGTTAAAGTTTATAACCTGTCTTTTATACGTTTTTAGTTTTATAAAAATATGGATCCAGAATTAAGATGGTGTAGTTATCTGTCATTGAATTGTAAAGTTATAGTTTGGAAGACATCTTAAAATCCTAATCACCTAGTACAATCCAAATAATATATTTGATGAAAATATGTGTAAAACTGTCTTTCAGATTTTCACATTGTACGTATGTTATGATCATAGCAGTATGAATGAAACTATTTTAATAGTTTTCCCCGTAAAGATTTCATAATCAACGATTTAGACGTGTATTTATGACATTACTAAACAAAACTCTCTTAAATTATATAGCCAATTATTTGGATACTTAATTATAAATGATAAGCCAATGTTTGCATTAATTTTTTAGTATACTGAAAAAATAATTTTTCTGACTTTGTTTCTTAGATTTTTCAAATGATTATATATTGGGCTTTATTTTCATAAAGTACTTGTTAGACTTAAGAAGGAAGTTTGATACAGTATACTTTAATAACTACTAGACAAAGAGTTATCTAGGAGAATGTGGATTTGACCTCCCTCAGGATCCTCACAGATAGGAAAGACTGATTTAGTTGGCTTTGATAGATTATATGTGCCTTAAATTACTTTTTAGAGTTTTTTTCTACCTGTAGTTTATATATATCTATATATATGTGTGTGTGTGTATATATATGTATGTATATATATATATCTTTCACCCAAGTTAATTTTTATTTTTCATGTTTAGGATAAATTTATTTACCATACGGCTCCAGTTGAAAAATCACACGGCAGACTGCAAAGCAGAACAGCAAGACCACAAAAGAAAAAATCCAAGTCACCTGAGAGAAATAAATATTGCGTAAATGCAAAAAACTACGAACAGCCTACAATATCTTCAAAATCACACTCTCCATCTCCCTACACAAAAAGACGCATGTGTGAGCTATCTGAAGACACCAGGCGGCGGCTGGCCCATTTAAATCTGGGACCCTATGAATTCAAAAAAGAAACAGATAAACCTCCATTTGTGATTAGACATGTATGTGTTCTCTTAAACATTTCCATCTGAAACTGATCCAATCTGTTCTTCCACTAAAATATTATTCTGAAACTTCCTTCAACTTCTAGCTTATATTAATAATTTTCTTTCCTGAACTGTCAGTTAACCTAGCAATCTAAAATTGAAAATTAACTTAGAATAAAAGAACATTCTTTTGTCAGTCTTTAAACCTGACAGAGATCAAGCTCCATTATGAATGCCATGTTAAATCCTCTAAGTACCCATTTCCTTCTTTCTTATACAGTGGACAGCATAATAACTCTGCAAATTGAACTTAGATGTAATTGACATTTGTACTAAAATGGCAGAGAAGAGTTTTAAAAGAGAACCAAGTTTTCTCTATGAAAAGGAAGGCCTCCTTCCCCGTAGCCTTTCAAAAAATTATAATGAGAAGTTTTCCTTTGGAATTATGTCACTTGCATAAACCTTATATAACAGATCTTTGAAGCAAATCATTGTTTGATGGGGATGGGAAGGCCTTTGAAAGTGAAGAGAGTTAACTTAAGGATAGCATAGTTCCAATCTTTCTATGGGGAAGCCTGCTTCATTTTTTTTTTGCTAAGGAAGATTGTCCCTGAGCTAACATCTGTGCCAGTCTTCCTCTATTTTGTATGTGCGTTGCCACCACATCATGGCTGACCAGTGGTGTAGGTCTGCACCCGAGATCCGAACCTGCAAACCCTGGCCATGGAAGCTGAGCGTGCTGGACTTAACCACTGTGCCACGGGGCCAGCCCATAGAAGCCTCCTTTTGATATGGTTTAAGTTTAGAGCTTGTTTGTATGATAGTCAAATAGACTTTGGCTAATTTTAAGGGTCTATAATCAGAATATTTAATAAAGGACTTTTTCAGAATCTTCATAGTTATTGAGTTTTTATAAAGAATTTTAACCTTAAAAACATTTCTTTAGCAAAAGCTTGCAAATTAATAAAAACTACTAGTGAATGTATATAATAGTAATAAAGTGCCTATAGAAGCAAACGACTTTTTGGGATTTCTATAAAACTATTTCTGACTTGAATGTTTTCTAATTCATTTTTTCCAAATTCTAAAATGTAAATATAAATGTAAACATGTGAATATGCTCCTTTGATAGTCTAATAGCTTTTTGAACATACGCCACCTGAAAATTCAGATTTTCTTTATGATACCTTTTTAAAAAATATTTAGATGTGCCTTAAGCAACATTTCATTCCATCTTTATATTTTGGCTATGAATCCTTTATTCTTTTAGCCTAAAGTAATGAATTTTTTTAATTGTAAAAAGAAAATTTATAATGTAATGGGTACTTTTGAATGATAATAGTTTATTGAGATTATTGTGATTGCATTTGTCTTATTTCTATAGAGTTTGCTTATAGGTTCTGGTCACATTTTTTGAACAATATCCAGATAATGTTCACTTGCTTGTTTGAGGGCAGTTTCAGAATGCCTTTAATTTTATGTCTGCCCACAATTGCAAATTAGATTGAAAAGAAAGGACATATTAAATTCTAATCTGAAGGGATAGCAGCTTTTTTTTTTTTTTGAGGAAGATTGGCCCTGTGCTAACATCTGTTGCCAGCCTTCCTCTGTTGTTTTTCTCCTCAGAGCCCCGGTGCATAGTTGTGTGTCACAGTTGTGGAGTTGTGGCTCTTCCACGTGGACGCCGCCTCAGCGTGGCGTGATGAGCTGTGAGTAGGTCTGGCCCAGGATCCAAACCGGCGAACCCCGGGCCGCCGAAGCAGAGTGCGCGATCTTAACCGCTACACCACCAGGCTGGCCTGAATAAATAAAAATGTCAAGGTTTATACCAACCTGTATTAGGATTGTTCTATTTTGAACACTGACATGAGAAACAACAGAATAAGCATTTTAAGAGCAGTAATTTCCTTAAATGATTTTTATATGGCTAACCCCTAAAATATTCTTGGTTATCTCTGTATGTAGGCATTTTAATTAAAATGCTACTATTCCTTTCATATTCTGAAGGAATATCTTTGCCTATGTACAAAGATAACCAGGAATATTTTAGGGGTTAGCCACATAAAAATAGTTTAAGGAAATAACTGCTCTTAAAACGCTTATTCTGGGCTGGCCCCGTGGCACAGCGGTTAGGTGTGCGCTCTCTGCTGCAGCGGCCTGGGGTTCGCCGGTTCGGATCCCAGGCGCGCACGGACGCACCGCTTGTCAGGCCATGCTGTGGCGGTGTCCCATATAAAGTGGAGGAAGATGGGCACGGATGTTAGCCCAGGGCCAGTCTTCCTCAGCAAAAAGAGGAGGATTGGCAGATGTTAGCTCAGGGCCGATCTTCCTCACATACATACACACAAAAATACTTATTCTGTTATTGTTTTTCATTGTCAGTGTTTGAAATAGAATAATCCTAATACAGCGTGGTATAAATCTTGACGTTTTTATTTAAATGATTTCCCTTTCAGCTTTCCAATGAACAGAAAGAAATGCATACTCTAAGCCTATAGTTAGAAAATTGCTTATATTATTGTATAGGAAACTGGATTTTTCCAATTGTATTTGTAAACATAGAGATGTCTTTTTTTCCCCCATAGCCATTCATGATTTTAAAGGCACTTAACACATTGGTAACCAAACAAAATTTTAATTTGACACATGCATATGCAGAAAGTTTACACTTTTAGGAAAGACATTCTAGTTTTACATACATTGTATAAAAAGTAATCTTAGAGATTAAGGAGCATTTTCAAGAAATCAGCTAGCATGTTCCCAAACTGGCACAACCATTCTAGAAGAGTTAAACAGCATTCTTTTCTTCTTCAGTTATGTAGAATTGGATTTCTTAATCATTTATGTAGACTAGGATCTTTCTTTTTTTCTATTGTGGTAAAATATACATAACATAAAATTTACCATTTCAACTATCTTTAAAGTGTATAATTCAGTGGCATTAAGTACATTCTTATTGTCGTGCGACTGCCACCACTATTCTAGTTCCAGGACTTTTTCGTCACCCTGAATGGACACCCTGGCCTCTTTAAGCATTCACTCCCCGTTCCTCCCTTTCCCTCGCCCCTGGCAACCAGTAATCTGCTTTCTATCTCTGTGGATTTTCCTATTCTGCCATTTCATATAAGTGGAATCCTACAATATTTGGCCTTCTGTGCCTGGCTTTTTTCGTTTAGTGCAGTGGTTTTGAGTTTCATCCATGTTGTAGCATGTATCAGTACTTGATTCTTTTTATTGCTGAATAATCCATCTCATTTTGTTTATCTTTTCATCTCTTGATGGACATTTGGGTTATTTTGACCTTTTGGTTATGTGAATAGTGCTTTTATGACATTTGTATACAAGTTTTTGTTTGAATACCTGTTTTAATTCCTACTTGCTTTAATACCTAGAGTGCAATTGCTGGGCCATATGTTAATTCTATGTTTAACTTGTTGAGGAATTGTCAAACTGTTTTCCACAGTGGTTGCCCCAGTTTATGTTCTCACTAGCGATATATGAGTGTTCCAATTTATCCACATTCTCACTAACAGTTCTCATTTTCTATTTTGTTTTGTTTTCTTTTTATTATAGCCATCCTAGGGGGGTTCGAGTGGTATTTCTTTATGGTTTTTATTTGCATTTCCCTAATGACTAATGATGTTGAGTATCTTTTCAGTGCTTGTTAGCCATTTGTATATCTTCTTTGGAGAAATGTCTGTTCAAATCCTTGCCCATTTTTAATTGGAGTTGTTTGTCTTTTTTTTGTTCAGTTGTTAAGTTTTCTTTATATATTTAGGATTCTAGATCCTTATCAGGTATGATTTGCAAATATTTTTTCTCTTTCTGTGGCTTGTCTTTTCACTCTCCTTTTAAAAAAATTTTAATTAAAAAATTGTAAAATATACATGGTATAAAATTTACCATTTTAATTATTTTTAAGTGTACAGTTCAGTGGCATTAAGTACATTCACACTGTTGTGTAATCATCACCACCATCCATCTCCAGAACTTTTTCATCTTGCTAAACTGAAACTCTGTCCCCATTAAACAATAACTCCCTGTTCTTCCAGCCCCTGGAACTACCGTTCTGCTTTCTGTCTCTATGAATTTGACTACTTGGGGTACTTCATAGAAGTGGAATTATACAATATTTGTCCATTTGTGACTGGCTTATTTCACTTAGCATAATGTCATCAAGGTTCATCTATGTTATAGCATGTGTCAGAATTTTCTTCCTTTTTACAGCTGAATAATATGCTATGTATAGAGGCCGGCCCAGCAGCATAGTGGTCAAGTTTGTGCACTCCGCTTCGGCGGCCCAGGGTTTGCAGGTTCGGATCCCAGGCATGGACCTACACACTGCTCATCAAGCTATGCTGTGATAGGCATCCCACGTACAAAATAGAGGAAGAGTGGCACGGATGTTAGCTCAGGGGCAATCTTTCTCAAGCAAAAAGAGGAAGGTTGGCAACAGATGTTAGTCCAGGGCCAATCTTCCTCACACACACACAAAAAAGTATACTTGGGGCCAGCCTGGTGGCATAGTGGTTAAGTTCATGTGCTCCACTTCGGCTGCTCGGGGTCCGCAGGTTTGGATCCCGGGTGTGGACTTATGCACCACTTATCAAGCCATACTGTGCAGGCATCCCACATAAAATAGAGGAAGACGATCACAGATGTTAGCTCAGGGCCAATCTTCCTCAGCAAAAAGAGTAGGATTGGTAACAGAGGTTTGCTTGGGGCTAATCTTCCTCACAAAAAAAAAATACATATTCTGTGTATATACCACGTTTTGTTTATCCATTCTTCTGTTGATGGACCCTTGAGTTGCTTATACTTTTTGGCTATTGTGAATAATGCTGCTGTGAACATGGTGTAAAAATGTCTGTTCACGTCTCTGCTTTCAATTCTTTTGGGTATATACCCGGAAGTGGAATTGCTGGATCATATGACAATCCTATATTGAATTTTTTTTTTTATAATTTTATTTATTTATTTTTCCCCCTAAAGCCCCAGTAGATAGTTGTATGTCATAGCTGCACATCCTTCTAGTTGCTGTATGTGGGACGCGGCCTCAGCATAGCCAGAGAAGCGGTGTGTCGGTGCGCGCCCGGGATCCGAACCTGGGCCGCCAGCAGCGGAGCGTGCGCACTTAACTGCCAAGCCACGGGTCGGCCCCTATTTTGAATTTTTTGAGGAACCGCCGTGCTATATTCCGTAGTAGCTGTACCATTTTGCATTCCTATCAACAGGGCACAAGGCTTTCAGCTTCTCCACATCCTGGCCAACACTTGTTATTTTCTGTTTTTTGTTAATAGCCATCCTAATGAGTATGAAGTAGTATCTCACTATGATTTTGATTTGCATTTCCCTAATGATTAGTGATGTTGAACATTTTTTCATGTGCTTATTGGTCATTTGTATATCTTTTGGAGAAATGTCTATTTAAGTCCTCTGCCCACTTCTTAACTGAGTTTTTTCTTTTATTGAGTTGTAAAAGTTACTTTATATATTCTGGATATTAATGCCTTATCAGATAATGATTTGCAAATATTTTCTTCTATTCCATGGGTTGTCTTTTCACTCTCTTGATATTGTCCTTTTATGCATAAAGTTTTTAATTTTGTGACTAGAGCTGTCTTTTTACACAGATTTATATCACTCTGACTTTTTTATTTTTGGTTAGAAAATGTGGTTGACTGTTATTATTCTGTAAGTTCTAAAGCACTCAGCATGCTGGGCTCTGAACACAGCCAAGTAAAGACACTGTTTGAGTTCAAAATCTATACGCTAAGGAGATAAGTAGCAAATGGCTAAACTTGGTTTGTAAATGTGGCAAAGTAAGATTTCTCTTTTTTTACCTTTGGAATGGAAAGCAAACTAGGCAATGGAGAAATGGACCTTTCAACTATACATCTGTTCATTTTAAAGTAGACTAAAATATGTAATTAAAAATTTCTGGAGTTTAATTTCTGGAGTTAAAAGTTTAATTTCAATTTGTTTAAAAATGAACAGCAAAATTCTCGACTGAGCTCTGATTTTGGAACATGCCTGAACCGTATAGGCACTATCATGTTAACCTGATGATATGGGGTCTGTGTACTTTAGTTGATTTTCTGGTGTAGTAAGACTGAAAGAACATTTAAGCTCTTTTTTATGTTGAAATGTTCTTCCTCTAGGTTGATCCCCCAAGTCCCAGGGCTGATGCTTTATTTGGATCTTCTGGCAGAGACTGTGAAAGAGATGGGTGGTCCAGGATGCACAATGGTAAGCTGCAAGTTCTCTCTCTTCATTGTTTTAGTTGCCTTGGCTACAGTCAAGCCTTTAACTTGGCATCAATTAACAAAAACAGAATCCTTGCTGTATTTTTGGAAAATATTATATAGTGCCACTTTTTACAACCTGTGGGACACCCATGTACATACTCTCTATAAATAATAGAATTTCTGTGCTGCTATAAACCATCTTCCTCTTTGAGATTCAAAATATATTTAGCATATTAAAGACTATGATACCTTTTAGTAAAAAAAAAAACCCTTCATTTTGTTTTGCTCAACAATTTCCAAATTTATTTGACTATGGAACCCTATTCTCACCATAACATTTATTACTTAGTTTGTGGAACAGTCTTCGGGAAACACCATAGTAAAAAGAGTTTAAGGTTATGGATTTTGGACATACATTTACACGTATATTTAAATACTTCTTCTGCTATTTAGTTATAAACTGGCCATTCTTTGAACAAATCATTTTAACCACTTTGATAATCAGTTTACTTATTTAAAGAATGAATGTAACATGGCAGATGTTACCATGTAAACACCCTAGCACACAGGACCCTTAATAAATATCAGCTGTTATTATAATAATACTTATTATTTATATTTCTGAAAAGATAACTTCGTTTAGGTTTAGTTTATAAGAATATTTATTTCATTTTTAGCCCTGGTCACAGTAGTTAGGTAAGTTGTTTCTTAAGTTCAATATGAAAATGATTTTTATGAAGAAGATTAAATAGTCTTTTATAGTTAGGGATATTTCAGTGTTAATATCTGTAGACATTGGCTCGTCAGTTTAGCAAGCATTCAGCAGCAGCCTGTTAGTTCATTTGCTGCAGCATAAAGGAAAGGCATACAGGAAGAAAAGTGAGGTAGACTGAAAAAAATATCGTAACGTGTCGTGAGCTCTGTCTCTTTCTATTTCTAAACTGTAGTGAATAATCTCTCTTTTTTTAAAAAATGGAGAAGTGAAACATTCTTCTCTAAGAACATGCAGAGTTTGTGCTCTTTTATTTTGCTTTTTTAGCACTAACAGGGAGATAGATGCGGTAATCAATAAATCTTTTATGCCCAAAATAGCAGATTATGTGAAATGAGGAACAGATGTTATACTTTGTTTCCTCTCTTGGAAGAAATTTGTGGACATGGAAAATAAGCTTTAAGAATAAGAAAATCAAAAATAACTTCAATATAGATGTTGCTTTGGAAGATGTTTTTGGAATGCACTTAACTGTCTGATTTCTCTTGACAATTATTATATATTTGCCAACAGAACGGTTATAGTTTCCATTAACTTTTTTTTTTTTTAAAGATTTTATTTATTTATTTTTTCCCCCAAAGCCCCAGTAGATAGTTGTGTGTCATAGCTGCACATCCTTCTAGTTGCTGTATGTGGGACGCGGCCTCAGCATGGCCGGACAAGCAGCGCGTCCGTGCGAGCCCGGGATCCGAACCCGGGTCGCCAGCAGTGGAGCGCGCTCACTTAACCACCAAGCCACGGGGCCGGCCCCAGTTTCCATTAACTTTTAATTGAAGTAGTCAGCCACCTACATAGAGGTACAATTAGAGAGGTCAGTTATGAGGTACTTTTTTTACTTTTAACTTTTTATTTTGACATAATTTCATACTTAAAGAAAAGTTGAAATAGTACAAAGAATTCCCATATACCTTTCACTCAGCATCTGAAAATATTAATATTTGCTTTTCCCTCTCTCTCTCTCTCTCTCTCTTTCCCCTCCCTGCCTCTATCTCTGTCTTGTATAAACTTTTTTTGACAAGGACATTGCTATGGACTGAATTGTGTCCCTCAAAATTCATGTTGAAACTCTAACCCCCAATGTGATAGTATTTGGAGGTGGGGCCTTTGGGAGGTAATTAAGTTTAGATGAGTTTATGAGGGTGGGTCTGTCATGATGGGATTAGTGCTCTTAAAAGAAGAGACACCAGAGATCTGGCTTTCTCTCTCTGCTAGAAGGCAGCCGCCGTCAAGCCAGAATGAACTTTCACCAGAACCTGACTCTGCTGCCACCCGGATCTCAGACTTCCAGCCTCCAGAACTGTGAGAAATAAATGTCTGTTGTTTAAGCCACCTAGTCTATGGTACTTTGTTATGGCAGCCTGAGGGGACTAATACAGATATTATCTTATGCGATGCAGTTATCAAAAGCAGGAAATTAACAGTCATATAATAATATTACCTAATCTATAAAGCTAAATCCGATTTTGCCATTTGTTCTAATAATATCTTTATAGCAAAAGAAATCCCACATCATGCATAGCCTTCGTGAAGGCTATGTCGTGTTGCCGTGTCTCTTTAGTTTTCTTTAGTATCAATCAGTTTCTTAGTCTTTCTTTGTGTTTAATGACACTGATAATTTTGAAGAGTACAGGCCAGTTATTTTGCAGAATGTCCCTCAATTTGAGTTTGTTTGATTTTTTCCTCATGATTAGATTTAGATTATTCATTTTTCCCCAGAATGCAACAGAAGTGGTGTTTTCCTCTAAGTGCATCATGTCAGGAGGTGCGTGATGTTACTTTGTTACTGGTGGTGATAATTTGCTCACTTGATTAAGACGGTGTCTGCTAGGTTTCTTCATCATAGAGGTGCTGTTTCTTCCCTTTGTAATTATGGGGAGATGCTTTGAGACTAGGTAATATCCTGTTACTCCTCAACTTGGACCACTTTAGCATACATGATGATTCTTCTCTGAAACAATTTATTACTGTGATGTTTGCTAAATAGTGATTTGTTAAAATTCCATTATTCTTTATACATTTATTACTTGCCTTTCTACTATAAAGAGTTGTCCCTTCTCATTTCTCTAATTTTAATGCCCCTGTTCTTTTGACTACAAATTTTTTTTCTGGCTGGCACAACTCAGCAGTTGTGTTTTGGGTTCTCATCAGCTATTTAAGTGCATATGGGAATTTATGATCAAGTCTCTTAAACGTAGTGAATTTTCACTTGTGACTATCTTTAATGGAAATTCTCCTTGAACATTTTCTTGCAAATTATCTTGCTTAATAATTCTTGTTTTTGTAGGATACCATTTTCACCACCATTGACTGATTTAGTCCTCATAATAATCATGTGAAGATGGCTTTAACTATATTTGATCAAGAAAAATACCTAGAGGCCTAGAGAGGTTAAGTGACCTGTTGGAGAGCTACAAAATAGCCATGCTCACTCTAGAATCCAGGTCTTCTAACCCCAAGTTCCTTTCTTTTCCACCACTCTCCTAGTACTTGCCCTACTTGTATTCGGGTATATTGTTTTTTAGATAAATTTTTCAACACATTTTCTTTATCTGGAATTTCCATGGGTTATAATTCTAATTGCAATTTGTGCAGTCCTTTTGAAGAAACTCAGCATCTCCTGTAACAGAAGAATGTTTCTAAGTTTTATCCAATTATTTATGTATTTTGAAGAGGAACTCAAGGGCATCATACTGGCCCCTTTTTTATTTGCTTAGGATTTAAGAAAAATGTTAAATTCTGTCTCCTGCTTGGAGGAAACTTCTCTTATTTTCTTCATTTGAAGATTCTTTTATGAGTTTCATTTTTACATAAGACTGTAATCTTTTATGAGTTTCCACTAATCCCTTTGTTTGATGGTTATTGTTTGTAAAGTAAAATAAATTGGAAATAACATTCCAAATCCTAATATGTCATATCTTGAGTAGATTGCAATAAATGGTAGTATTTTAATACTTTTTGAATAAAATACTATGTAGTCATCATGTATATATATACTTATTAGCAAAATATCTTATTTGTTTCAGTTTTTATTTAAATGTGTGCTTCCTTGTCTTACAGAGCAGGAGGCAGGTGAACAGTTTTCATTTTAGGAACTCTTTTAGTTTCTTTATTTCTCTATTCTTTAATTAAACATTTTTAACAGCTTTATTGAGGTGTAATTTATATGCCATAAAATTCACTTGTGTACAACTAAATGATTTTAATAAATTTGCACAGTTGTGAAATCATCACAATCCATTTTTAAAATATTTCCGTCATTCCAAAGAGTTTCCTTATGCCCATTTGCGGTAAATTTGCATTCCCACTCTGATCCCCTGGATTGTTTCCACTTTTTAGCTATTATGAATAATGCTGCTGTGAACATTTGCATTGAAGTCTTTGCGTAGATATATGTTTTCATTTCTCTTGGATAGATACCTAGGAGTGGAATTGCTGGTTCATTTGGTAAATTTGTTTACTTTTTAAGAAATTGCCAACTGTTTTACAATGTGGCTGCACCATTTTACCTTCTCACCAGCAGTGTATGAGATTTCCAGTTCTCCCATCCTTGATAACACTTATTATTGCCTTTTTTATTATAACCATTCAAGTGGGTATGCAGTCCTATCTCATTGTGATTTTAATTTGCATTTGACTAATGGCATTGAATGTTTTTTCACGTGCTTATTAGCCATTTGTATATCTTTTTTGAAGATCACCACTCTTCCTGTCTCTGGTAAGCAGGGTACTTGCTGTGTGCTAAACTTCAGACAAGAAAAAAAAGTGAAGGGAAAAGTGAGACTTTTGCTACTGAGACTTTGACAGCCATAGAAGTAAGAAAGATAAAAATATTAGATATTGGACTAAACAGTTTCAAGTGAATACATCATAAGTGAGTAAGAGATAGGAAACACTTTGCTACGTGCCTTTCCTTTTTAGAAGGTTGGATCCCTGAAAGATCTTAAATGCTGGTTTTATTTTATAAGGCTTGACATCCTAGCTTTGCTTCTAGTTATAGAGACTGACACATGGCAGACACTTTGGCTGCACGCTCCATGAAGATTCCTAGGAGAGCGGGGGCCAACTTTAGAATGTTATGTGGGCATTGGGGTACCTGTAGAGTAAGTGCTGATAAAGAACTTTAGGGGCAGATGCTCTTTGAAGGTTCAGATAGGTACATACATTCAGCATCATGGAAATTTTGCAGTAGTAGTAGCACTAACCACCAGAATAGGCTTCAATTTCTTGAA